TCCAGGAATATAAAGAGTGAATAAAGATACCAAGCCATGAAAGACAAAACAAAACAAACAACAAGCAACAAAAGCACTATAGACACATTGTGTTTTGGCATGGCATGACTTTAATAAGGAGGTGACACACACAGAATAAAGTACGATGACAGGGTGAACTCAATGTTGGAGAATGGTGAGGCCTCAGGAGAGTGGAGAGTGACCTGACAATATGATCATTCTAGTTCAAGCTTGACGTAAACTAGGCATAGGCAGTGGTGACATACAGGAGGGGACAGATGCAAGGGACATTGTAAAAGTAAAAACTATAGGACCAGGGAGTTGATCAAATATGCAAAGAGTAAAAGACAAAAGGCAAAAAGAAACCAACAATAACAAACGGTGAGGCATGGTTGTTTCTTTGTGATGCTGAGTCTCCAGAGGAACACAGCACAGGAGTTTGAACTGGGTCTCCATGAGGGACGTGAATCATGCTGAAGTATAGTATGACAGCTGCTGAGATGCTCAGGAGACACTTGTGAATGTTTTTTCAATTTAGTATAGATGTGGGGGATTACACATGCAGGTAGGGACTCAACCTTAAGAGAAATCATATGACAAAAATCCCAAGGTGGCTGGGAAAGAGAGGGGTGAGATTGTTCTCTGGATGTGACACGAAGTCTCTTCTGACTCATAAATTATAAAAAAATTATAATAATGAAAATCAAGGCTTATCTATTATATTGTAGCACCTTAACACATTTTCAAGTGAATGAGCTTATTTGATTCTACTCTAAAAGTCTGTGAGCTAGGTTTTCATTCCAATTTGTATAAGAGGGAGCTAAGAGAATTCAACAGGAGATAAATCTCATAGTGCATGAATCAAAGATTTCAAACTCATAGTGTCTGAGGTCAAATCCTGAGTTCTTTTCCCATGAAATGCTGTAAAGAAACTAGGAAAGATCAAAGCCAAGTCGTCATTCTGACCTACAAGTCTTATGTGATTTTTGAGCTGCTTCTGATTCTCGGATGTTTTCTACTCTCTCCCACCACCAACCACTTCTAATGAGTATGGTGTCTGCCTTTGTTCTTCAACATTCCAGTTGTTATCCCACCTTTGGTCCTTGTACTGGGTGCTCCCTCACCCTTGAATGTGCTTTGTCTAGACTGTAATTTTTCTCACTGCTTGCTTTTTTCTGTCATCCACTACCACCATCTTCCCTAAAATTACACTATGCTTTTTTTCTGTCACCCTTTGCCGTGTTATATAGTCAGCCCATGTATGGTAGTTATGGCCTCCTCTCCCAAGCACTGGCAGGATTGGGTTTTCACTGTTTTGTTCTCTACTGCTTTTTGTGCCCTCATAGGAATGCCTGGCACAGGATCAGAGTCCAGTAAAATCCGTTAACTCCAAGAAGGATTTGGGCTGAGAAGTTATTGCTGGGACTGTCCGTTATAGTTCTTTTTTGCATGTGCCTGGGGTAGAAGACAGACTGGGGACTTAGGAGTGAGTAGCAGTGAGTGGTGGGAACAGGAGATGGGTGAAGCTAAGCTGCCCTCATGTGAAGTTTAGTGGAGAAGGAAAAGAAAAAGATCAGAGAATGGGTAATGAGGCAAAGCAGAGGCAAGGTAAAATTTGATCCTCCTTCCTATAATGAGGCAGACCCAACTATGTTTCTTAGTCCTGTCATCTAAAGAATGGAATGAAAATCTAGTTCACAGACTGGTAAATTGACTGAATCTGGTAGGAAAACAGGCCAAAGATCAAAATCAGAAGGACAAATATGGAAGGGAAAGGAAAAAAAAAAAAAAGTAAAACCAACACAACACAAAACAACAAAAAGAAACCCAGACATAGAACTGGCTTTGTATTAAAGAAACTTTTTACGGAGACCTTCCACATCATTTAATAACATTTCTAACAGTTGTCAAAGCCTAAAGCAAGGGCAAGTAGATTCAGAGAGCCCACCTCTTCTGACAACCTGGGCTCCATGTTGGGAGTGTTGGAGTTGTTAAAACAACCCGCCAGAGTAATCTCTGCCTGCCATTTCCAACCACCTTGCAACATCTGAGATGTCAAAACACCAAAGTAGAGCGTTACACCTTATCATTTAGACAGATCTACAAAGGCTAGTGAAATGTGACTTGGCTAAGATGAGTGTCCTCAGATCTTGCCCGTTAAAGTGGCAGAGGTAGAAAAGGGCTGAAAACAGAAGGGAATTCAATCAGAACTCTGGGGTCCCTGTGTTGTGCAGCAGCCCTTACTGAATACAGGAGGTAGGCAGAGAGTACGCAGTGGACAAAGCCAAGTGCCGAGGAACAATGAGCACAAAAGAAGCAATTTTTGTCTAGAGATAAAATGTGTAGTTCAATCAACTGGTCATGTAAATAGCCAGGGCCCCTTTTCTGGATCCTAAGGAAAATATGTCATACCCTGAAGAGGATTTGATATTACTGTTTTGATGCATGAAATACCACGGGCAAGGCGATTACCTTGATTTTTGTAGTCATGTACCAGGTTGTGCCTATTGCAAAACAGTAATTGCTATATTATCTACATAATTTCTGTATTTCTCTGTGTGCATCCTTGTGCTCCTTCTTTGGGACATAGAAGATAGTTTGGGGAATATAAAATTATATATGGTGTTCATCATTCTTCCTGGATTGTCAGTTTTGGGGGCATAAATGGTTCCATTAAATATGGCCTGTGCATGTCACACAAAGGAACTGAAGCTCAGTGACACAAAATAACACATCCAAGTCGCAGGTAGCTGAGTATGAACAGGATGCAATCCAGCAGTTTGACTTTGGAACATATGCTCTTAACCAAGGCACCATTCAGTCTTTCATAGGTCACAGCTCTTAACACTTTGTCATATCATTTTGTCAAAGAAACAAAAAGCATGTGTACCATGCTTGCACTTCCATGATGTTGGTTTTTTTTTTTTTAAATTGAACTGCTGTGAACATCTTTCCGTGTTCTCTTCAAGCAGGATATGAGAAAAATTGTTCTTTGTGTGGATACATTTGCTGCGTTAGTCTCCTGTTTACTCAATGATGAGCTATGGGATAACTTTGCTGCTCCAAACTTGTGGAGTGATCCTTATAGCTGGAATAGCACACTGGTGATTTGAGGAAGAAAAACTGGTTGTGAATTTTGCCAGCTGACTTAGTATTTGGTTCATCAAACAAAGCAAAACGAAATAAACTGTTCACCTCAGGTGAATTGTTACTAGTCAAATGGGTGAAACTTTTTAGTCAAATCAATGATGTTTTTGTAACTATGAATTAGCTGGGAAATACCAGTGTTTCAAATAAACAGTTTCAATACAATATTAATTCTGTCAGGAGCAAAATTTTTCCACTTAAAATTTTTTAGGGCAGAGGCAAAGTTAGGAGGTGACCCTTAAGTGCTCCCTGATAAAATTGCAGAAATTTGTAGCATCTTTGTTCTTGGAACCCACGCTGTGTGTTTCAAATTCATTTGAGTGTATTGTACTTTCTTTGCATCATAGGCAGTGTTTTTAATGAGTTACTAAATTTCATCTCTGGTTCTGACTGAATTATTCAAAAGCATCTGGGCTTACAGAAATCTTTTAGTTGATAATGCCTGGATTTCCTTTTAAGCATCTTTTTTGGTCCTTGTTTAATGACTCTTTATCATAACACTCTCCAATAGATTCTTTTTCTTATATATTTCAAATTTAAAAGGCTTCATCATAAAGAAAATGTAACACATATCTAGAAGAATGATTCTTACTGCTCTGTCTGCAAAGTAAATTGATGTAAATGCATGAAAAACACATATTGCTAATAATTTGAAACTGTCATTGGCTGTCTTTGCAGGGATACCTAATAGCTAGGTACTTATTTTGAGCATTGTTTGAAAAAACAGAGTGAATATTATTAGATAAACATCTTCAAAGTCAATGCCTGGAGATCATTTTGAATGAGTTCATTCTATAAATTTTTAAAATTGTTTGTCTTTAGGTTTCCCAAACCATATTCTTTACTATTAACAATGACATTAAGTGATAATGACTCAAAGTAGCCACAGATGCTGAAGAGCTGTGGTTGAATTATATTACGGTGGGAAATACATGGGCAGTGACATAATAGTTACTAGGTGGTGCTATGTGTTAGGCCTGTACTGAAAATTTTGAGGGCTATTTCTTTTAAAAAAAACATTTTATTTATTTATTTATTTTTATGTATATGAGTGTTATGCTTGCATGTATGTAAGTGCACCCATGTCATGCAGTACCTGTGGAGGACAGAAGAAGGTGTTGGATCCTCTGAAACTGGAGTTAGGCATGGTGGTTAGCTAACATGGGTGCTGGGAATCGAGTCTGGATCCTCTGCAACAGCAGCCTATTCTCCTAACCATTAAGCCATCTCTACAGCCCCTTGAGGGCTATTTCATCTTTATTGTAATGATACAGGAATTCTGCTGTCCATCTTAGAGATAAGAAAACTGAAAATCAGAGGTTACCTGAGCCATTCATGTGTGAAGTGGGAGGTATAAAATAAATTCGAGTGGACTGCTTTGCATTTAAAACTGGAAACTTCACTCCATTGTCTCCTTATCACATAATGGAAGGCCATCCATCCAATCCATCCATCCACTATGGTATTTTGTTCTTCCTTGTCCTGAGTCCAGTGGAGTACATCCTCCAACAGTTAGGTAATCAGTCTGAAAGTGCTGGTCAGCTTTTAGCTACTCTAAGATTTCACATTGAAAAAAGGAAGCCCCATTTTCTTTATCATAAATATAAGCATTACCTTCTTTCTTCCTTTACATAATTCTATGGGAAAGACCTGAGCAAAATCCACCTTCTATAGCCTCTTTTAAAAAAATACACACCATAAACTATGATACACCTTGAGGTGAAAACAGGATAAACTCCCCAGCTTCTAGTGAAAGAGGAAGTCACCATTTCATTTTGTAGGTGGAAAGGATACATTTCCATAACCTTGGGAAGAAGTAAGGATAAAATCTAGGTAACACCAGATCTCTGCTTTAACCTTTTTATTGCTATATGTTCCCGATACAACAAACAGCATCAGTAGTGTACACTTTGATAAAAAGGAATTTTTAGTTTAGTAGAAAAGAAAGCACATAGGTAAAAAGTATAAGGATATGTACATCTTACAGGAGGCGTATGTGTGTGACCATCTTCATATTCCCTGTAGGCAGATGCATGGACACCCAAGTAAACTAGAGAGAATTTTGTTCTGGTGAAATTTTTAAGAAAAAAAGAAATATATTTAAGGCCTGAGGATTGTTTTACTATCTGGAATTCATCTAATTTGACATTTAAAACTCTTGCACAAAATAGCAGCAATTCTTTAGAGGTATTGAGTCAATAGCTTAGGCTGTTAGTTTACAATGATTAAAACACAAAAGTCCTTCCACATTCTGTGCTTTGAAAGGTTAACACATCCCTAGTTTAGTTTGTATAAGGTATTTCTAGATATTTGTAGAAAATTACCTCAAAAGCATGCTGATAACACTTTTCAGTTCATGAAGAACTTATCTTTCATATACTTAAAACATGTTTTATTGTTTTGTTTTTAAAATAGGGTCTTGCTATATAACCCAGGCTGGCCTCAAACTCATGGCAATCCTCCTGCCTCAGTCTTCTTTTTCTTACCATCATCTTATTTTTTTTAGACAAGATCTTACTATGTAGCCCAGGTTCGCCTCAGACTTGCAGAGGTCTGTCCACCTCCTGAGTGCTGGGATTAAAGGGGTGCACCACCACGCCTGGCAGCCTCAACCTTCTCAATACTGGGATTACAGGTGTGCACCACTTCAAGCTTTGAAGATGTTTCTCATTCACTGTTTCATAAACAGCTATCTGAATTTCTAACTATTTGATGATTTCTTGAAGGGAACAAATCATCAACTACTTTAAAAATGCAAGTATTTCACAAAGGGGGGGGGCTGTAATCACACTTTTTGGGAGGTTGTGACAGATGGATTACAAAATCCATTGTCTGCCTGGGCAATTTAGGGAGATCTTGTCTCAAAATACATAAAAGGCTGGGACCATAGCTCAGTGATAGAGTGCTAATCTAGCATGTGAGTAGTCCTGGGTTTAATCCCAAGTACTGCTCAAATTAAAAAAAAAATACAATTGGGTTGGCTGTGTGGTTGGCTTAAATTTCTCCTTTCTGCATAGAACATAGCATGTACTTCTCTCTAGTTTACTACAATGTCATTGATATTAGTGTAAATATCAAGGACATAAAAATTCTATAAAGAAAAAAATCAACTTTTAATAAATATCTTCAAATCTTCATTCTATGTACAAGTATTTTACATCCACTCCCTGAAGGGAGTATTTCTGACTTTACTGTGAGAAAGGTGATCACTGACATAAATTATTAGCACATTATTGCAGTCAGATGCACTGTGGTTGTGAACATTTGGATATGAACCATGCAGAAAATAAATATCTTAACCATTTTAAAAACACCTTCTTGAATCTTCTTTCAAAGCACTATTACACTCAAGTGTCAATTCTGTCTGCTGACACTTTTCTCAGCTACAAATGAACATACAAAACACTTTTGTGATTATCACAGTACATCAAGTATAACTGTACATCAACAATGAAAACATAACACAAGAATCAAGGGCATCTCAATGATGGCCTCCAAAGTGATGGCAGGAGGGCTGGGCTTTGTCTTACATAATCTCATTCACTGCATCCTGTGTGCACAAATACACTAAGACACCAGTCCTATTCTTATCACTGTAAGGAGAGATGGCATTAGATAAAACATATCACCTGTACATCTGAAGTTTTGACACAAAAAACATAGCAAACCCTTTAGTATCATCAGTAGCTGTAATTCTAACTTCTTCATAATATTCTGCATTGAAAATCGACTCATAGAATGTCATGTAAGGCAATACTCAATGACAGGCACCCAGAACACCCAGAAATGTAAGATAGTAAACAATCATTTGAGAACATCTCAAAATAATACTGATTTCTGCAATGTACAGTATTTACACAACAGCTGCAAATTTGCTCATACAATATTTCTAATATAGATAAATAGGAATACAAGTCTAAGAATTATTTTCCTCATTTCCAAAATTTTTTGAAGCGTAAACCACTGGCATCTGTTCTTATAAATTTTACTGTAACTTTTTTAAAACAAAAAAATCAGCTGATATGCACAATTGGTTCCAGTCTTTCCTTCCTTATATAATAAAACACGTTTAGCTGCTTTCTGTTCCCTTTATTTTCTTTTTCTTTCTTTTTTCTTCTTCTTTTTATTTTTATTTTTTTTGAAAGAGGACTTCCAGTTGGCCTGGAACGCATTGCAATCCTCTGGCCTCAGCCTCCCAAGTGCTGGGATTACAGGCATGAGCCGCCATACCTGGAGTCTTTCCTTCTGATAACAGTCTTTGGTGCTTTCTTCCAATGGATCCTGGTAAACAAATCGATGCAGAACAAAAGGAAGATAAAAGCAACTAAAAAGTGAACCAGCACTTTCTGTTCTTCCACTTACAGAGGACACGAGTAAACTGTGTGGAGAGTTCCACTTTCAACAGGCTGTATGCACCATGCAGGGAGGGAGGTTGTCCAGGGTTCTCTTTGATTTTTAGCTTGGCAGATCCATGTTCTCATCTCTCTAAGGTAGATGACCTTATTGGATGTCTATTGTTAATAATCTTTCCATCTTTCTTTGAGGTTCTTGCCTGAGAAGAAGCACCTATTGAATCACCGATTGCAAGGGAGGGGGCAGCAGCCATGGGTGAGGCAGAGTGGAGGTGACCACTCTTCCTGGATGAGGACAGTGGTATTGAGACTATTGTCTTCCTACCAGCCTGCTGTTCTCTCCTCTGGGAGAAGTCAGTACTGGCAGTTCTACTGTTGGCTCTGAAAGCAGCATGTGTGTTAGGACTTGTCACAGAAGAGAAGCTACTCAAAGATTTCTTCTCAGCAGGAGTCTCTGAGTAGTAAGGAAGGAAAGGTGTAGGCATCACTAGAGACCTAGGCAGGTCACTAGGGTCAAAGATAGCATCACCATGGATTTCAGCAGCATCTTGAAGGTACGGTGGTGGCAGGGTGCTACTGCGCTTGCTACATGACTCACAACACAACTTGTTATAACCTGGGATTGAGCAGTACCGTGCGAGCACCTCCATTTGACAGAATATGGACTTGTCTCCCAAGCATGGCTCATCTGCAAAGACATAAAGGAGAAAATAATACACATGCTTAAACATGAAGGGAGGGAAATACACAAAAAATGTTGATCAGTACAGAAAGATTTCTGTGATATCTGAAATCAATACATGAGCCTTTGTATTAAAACTATAAACATTAGGATTCATTCACTGCAATAAGTAAGGATTTTCTAATTTTTATTTTTTGAGGTAGGGCATCGCTGCCTTGCCCAGGCTAGCCTCCCAGGTACTGGGATTAAAAACATGTCCCACCACACCCAGCTGAAAAAAGTACTTGGCATTATTGTTATTTTAATATCTCCAGACAGAGTATTCAGACCACTGAGGGGAGTTTTGTCTTTGACTAGGAATATGTGCCTCATTTTACAATGAAAGAACTGGGTTCATTTTACTACAGTCATTTTTAAGATAAAGGAAAACCTCATTTTTAGCTGCATAATATTGAATTTTAGCTTTGCAATAGGGTACCTCTGCAATTATTTAAAAATTTAAACCAAATATTTCATCGATTTATTTGATTAATTAAATGAATAGCAACGACCCCTATTGGAACAGATTAAATCTTAAATATTTATCACCAAAGAAGATATATTCATCTCAGGATGTCTTTTGAAAACATCTGTATCAAGTGTGCCAACTTTGTTCTCAATCACATTTCTTACATTTAGTTTTATGGAATTAATAGTATCTTATGCTTACAGGGAAGCCAAGTAACTCAAAGTTCTTGTCATTTTTGTGTACTCACACCTTTCTTTTAAAGTTTTATTGATTGTAGATTATACAAATTAATTTACAAAATCTAAATAGTATAGTCAGGCATGGTGGTACACACCTGCAATCCTAGTACTTGAGTGGCTCTAGATCAGACATTCAGGGCCAACTTTGACGATGATAGCAAAAGCTTGTGTCAGAAAAAGAATCTAAGCATTGAGCTCCAATATTGTGTATTTTCAGTCATACCCAATGGAATGATAGATTGTAGCCATAGCCAATTTCTCTAAGAAATACAGACCCAGTATATTTCTAGAGACAAATGCATTTCTGTATCCACTTCAATAAGAATATGGCACTTATGGAATGTCATCACTTAAAATACCAATGTATTAATAAATATATATGCAAGAAAATATTTATATTAATATTTGTGGAATCCCTTTAGATAGACTTTTTTTTTTTTTTAAAAAAGGATCAGTTAGTGACATTAATTTTGTTTGAGCTGTCAATTCCTGTCCTGTCCACATCCCAAGTTGTGGAATGAATAATATTGTCTTGACACTTACAGGCCTATAGAGTATGGAGTTTGAATACTTCACATTTTCTAAGATGGGTATTTAACCATGTTATTAGTGACAGAGGATCAATGGATTTGACTTCAAAATACTGATATCTTGTGAATTACTTTTGGTATCGATATAAAATAAGGAAATGGTTTCCACCAATGTGATTAAGGCCATGGGTTCTGGCATGAGAGGAGTTTATTTGCCTGTTTTATTTTTCTTCTTCCCTTTTGACCCCATCAGCCTCTGCTGAGGAAGTGCTTAGAATAGTCCTCTGGCATTAGAGAAGGCCTCAGTTAAGGCATTGGTTTAAATATGAGCACTTTGCTGCTGCAGAGAATGACTGACAGCCCAGGTCTCATTAGGGCCAGAATGTGATTCTAAGTTGTAGAAGAAAGTTTTTAAGAACAAATAAGTTTCCCAGTCATTTTCCTAGGCCTAAATAGGAAGAGCTTAAAGGCAAATAAATATTGCAAATGAATATAATCATCTAACCTAATCAGTCATTAGAATAAGGGGGAACTTTCCCATTCCACTCTAGGTCATAAGAGCTTCAGGAAAGGATCTGTGTACCTGGGCTCAAAAGGCGATTTGAAGAGTATGAGACCCAGAAAGTTGTAACCTGACTGAGACGGTATAGAAATATATGGCCTTTCAGAAGTCTCAGAATTGACTTTTAGGCCTAGATTTCAGAGCAGTGAAGCACCTGAAAGGAACATGGACCCATTAACCTAATATGCTATCTCTTTAGCACACTGGTTTTACAATAAATTTTTTCAGTACCCCTGGCTAAATGAGAAGCAAGTAAATCCAGTCACACACAGGGCTCTCCCAGCTATTAAAAGCAATAGTTTAGCTAGAAAGTGTCCAGTCTTGCCAGTAATAATATGTAAGGACAAACTATTGCAGTCATAGTAAACTTTAAGGTTCTTCTTGTGTGTAGTTTGCTCTCTTGGTGTTTCTTGAGTTTTGAGATTTCAAGTACTTTACAGAGCAATGTCTAGATAAGTCTTATGTCTCCCCCTCCTGGTCAGGATGGTCCTTGCCATTTTAAATGACATTGTCAAAATTTAAAAACTCACAGCCTAAACTTTCCAAAATTAAAATGGGAGAGATAAATAATGCCAGCTAGTTTTAAAAACCAGAGGGAACCATATTACTCCAACAACCTACTAACAAATTACGCATAGCAGATCCAGCAATATATGTCTAGGTAAGGTTTATCTGAGAACAATTGGTCTTTGCCCAAGATTTATCTAGAC